GCGCGACGACCCCTTCGCGCATGACTGGCCGGCACTGCCGCAGCTGCCGGGACTGCACTACCCCATGAACGAGCAGTGCCGCTTCGACTTCGGCCTGGGCTACATGATGTGCACCGCGGTGAGTGCCCAGTGCCCCCGGGTGGCGCCATGGCCCCCAGGGCGGGCGCAGGGCAGGGAAGGCAGCCACATCGCTCACCTACCACATGGCTCAGAGCCCGGAGCGCTGAGGGGCCGGCAGGAGCAGAGGTCCCAGCTCGGTGGTGGCTCCCATGGCGGGGAGGCAGCAGTGCCCGCCTGGCCCTGCAGCGATGGCCTCCCAGCGCTAGGGCTCCTGCCGGGGCCCCTTCTGGGCCAGCGTGCTGCCTCCCAGCCCCGGTCCATGCTCCACCAAGCTGTGGCCTCAGCCTCCGGGCCGTGCACGGGGACACGGCCCCTGCCTGTGCTTGCAGCCCTAGAATTCAGAATCCTCTGCTGGAGTGGAGCTCAGCGCCCACGGCTGGCACAGAAGTGGGGGGCAGGGGGGACCCTGGGGGTCTGGGAGGTGGTCTGGCAAGCTGTGATACTTGTTCCAGTTCCGGACCTTTGACCCCTGCAAGCAGCTATGGTGCAGCCACCCTGACAACCCCTACTTCTGCAAGACCAAGAAGGGGCCCCCCCTTGATGGAACCATGTGTGCACCTGGCAAGGTGAGTAGGGAGGCGGTGGCCCGAGACCAGGCCATGGTCCACAGGAGCACAGAGGGCCAGGGGCAGGACCTGCAGGGCCACACGGGACCAGGGGGCTCTCGCTGCCCGTGCAGTCGCCCCTGCATTGACAGCCCAGAGGGTCTGCCACCATGTGCTTCTAGCACCAGGGCAAGGCTGGCGGCCCAGAGCTTCTCCTGAGACCCAAGCCCCCATCCTGGTTGACTGTAGGTCACCTCTTTGTGGGGACAGCTTCAGGGTTCTAGGCCCGGGATGTTTAGCCTGTCCACCCCAGGGGCCCTTTAAAGCAGGCTGGTTCCTGGAGGTCACTAGATTGTCACCCCACACTCCCTGTACACCCCCAGCAGTGTGCAGAGAGGGAGCTCTAGCCAAAACCCTGGCCTCCATCCATTCAAGTGAAACCCCGCCTCGCTTCTGTCCCGCCAAAGCCACACTGGCCACCAGGAGGCGCCATGGAGCCCCATCCCCAGCCCTGTCAGGCCTGAAGCGCCATCCTCATTTGGGCAGGGGTTCCTCAGGGCCAGCTCGGGTCTAGCGAGGCTGAGCCTAACTTTAGGTCCCAATGGGCTTTCTTAAAGATATGGAGTCCTGGGCCACCCATGAAGACTGGTTTGGTTTAAGGCCCCAGAACAGCTGGCGATTTGTTTTGTCTTCTTCTGTTTTACATTATGGTAAAATTCACATAAGATAAAATTAACTATTTTAACTTGCTTTAAAATGCACCGTTTAGTGGCATTTATTATGTTCAAGTTGGGTAACCATCATCACTACCTACTTTCTGAGCTATCGCCCCTGAGAGATACCCCATTGATCAGTCACCCCTTCCTCTCCTCTCTCCAGTCCTTGGCAGCTACCAGTCTGTTTTCTGTGTCTGTGGAGAGGCCTGTCCTGGAATTTCACATACATGGAATCACATATGAACCGTCATGTCGGACTTATTTCACTCAATATGTGAAATGTGTTGAAGAATCATCTATGTTGTGGCACACATAAGTACTTCATCCCTTTTCATGGCTGAGTGACATGCCACGGGGTGATTGTATCACCTTTCATTTATATTCTCTCATCTTTGGATGGCTTGGATTTTCCCACTTTTGGGCAGTTGTGGGCGATTCTTCTATGATTCTTCTCACTCAGTTAGCCTAGTGAATACCCTGGCTTTTTTATGTATTTGAGGAGTAGTCGTGTAGGTTGAAGAGCTCAGTTCTCCCACCGCTTGTTCACAAGAAGTTCAGGCTCAGCACAGAGAGACCAGCCCGGCCTCCCACTCTGGCCTCCGGCAGGGTCCTGAGTACCTTCGCCCCCGCCTTGGCCTACGTTTCCTCATTTTATCCCTGCAAGTTTGGGTGTTCACCATTTTTCCAGAGAAAAAAGAAATCTGTACTTATATTCTGCACAAGACGCGACCCCAAGAGAAGCTCCCACCTCATCGTGGGCATGAGAGCCCGGTGGGAGGGGGCATGAGCAGGACCCTGCGGCTCAGGGCGCTGGGCTCGGGGAGGTGGACGCCTGAGCTGTCCCCAGTGAGCGGCTTGGTCGGGAGGCCTGGCTTCCCCTTCCCGGGACAAGGGTGTGGCAGTGCAGGGAGAGGCTTCGGGCTGCCGGTTACCCAGTCACAGGGTGGATGCCCTTACAGAGAGACCTCGGGGAGAGGACCTCTGCCACCCTCTCTCCTTCCTTCCTGTTGCCCGGCATCGGCTCAGGACACGAGACTTTGTGCCTTGAAGCGTCACACCTCCCTAGTGGGTGAAATATGCGTATGCACTTACACGTTTGTGTACAGCGCGTTTTAATTCGTCACACATGCTCCTTTTATGAGGAGATAAGTCGTCTTGGCCTACTGTACCTAGACGGGACTTCTGCCTAATGGGTGTCAGGGTGAATGGCCGGTGCTCTCCACCCGGCATCAGCAGAGTCGGGGGATGTAGACGTCAGCGGCCTGCCGTGCTCAGTGCCCAGTGTGAAGCCAGAGCGAGGGACTGGGGCCCAGGTGTATTGTGAGCCCCGCCTTCTTGACAGGAAGACGGTTACGATCTAGAGAAGGAATAAAAGAGAATTGTTACTTAAATACCATAGATTTCTGTTCTTCCCAAAATTTAGGGGGTTTTCATGAATAAATATTTTTCTACTTGTTTTGACTTCAAAAAAAATCTCTAGTATCTTTTCAAAATATTTTAATGATGTGGACCCACTTAACTGGTGGTTTAACAGGCTCTTTCCACCAGAGGTTTCCATTTGCTACATGTTTTCATAAATAAAGTTTTATTGGAACGCAGCATGTCCACTCATTGCTCTGCTGTCCACAGCCACTTTCATGTTTTAATGGCAGAGTTAAGTTACAGCAGCAGTCATAGAGCCTGGGAGATCTAAAGTAATTACCTCCTGGCCCTTTGCAGAAAACATTTGCTGAAGAGTTGCTGCATTCTGTTCAAGTTCTTTGTATGGAAAACAGTGTCACGAACTTGTATGAAGAAACATTGAAAGTCTGCAGTCCACAAGTTGTTGGTCAATTTAGAAAATCGCTGTGCTCTGGTTTGGGTTGTTTGTAGCACTTGAGGGGGGTTGCTTGTGTGTGTGTTCGTACTCCGGACTGAGCCCAGGGAGCTCCGAGCTACGTCCCTAAAGCTTACTTTTGAGACAGGGCCATACTAAATCGCCCAGGTGGGTTCGAACTTGTAGTCCTCCTGGCTCAGCTTCTGAGAGCTGGGGTGACAGGCGTGTGCCACCATGTTGGGCTGTAAAGATGTTTTAAAATTGTAAATATTTGGGAGTTACACTTCTTCATTCTAAATCAGTGGTTCATTTATGTCTAATGTAGTATTTTCAATTTTGCGATCTTCCTAAAGTGAGCTCCCTAGGCTGTGTGGGCTTTCTCCCCCTAGGAGAGCAGTGTGACTCGATTCAGGTTGTAGAAATGTGTTTTCTCCCTGCCCGTGCTCTACTTATTATATTCCTGATAAATTTTGCTTTTTGGCTTGAGCAGACCTTACCCATGTTTGGGATCATGGGCTGGACGGGCCTGTCCTGTATGTGGACAAATGCAGAGTGGGTGCTGGCGGAGGGGTGGAGCGGGCTGGATGAGGTGTGCAAGACAGGAGCCGGGGCCCAGCGCCTCCCTGTGCTCTCCTGCCCCCAGCGAGTGCGGCTGTCTCCTTTGGGTGCTCTGAGCTCGCAGAGCAAATGGGGCCAGCCTCCCACCTGAGGAGGGAGGGCCCCCGTGGCACTGATGTAAGCCACCGTCCCAGATGACTTCCTGTCTTTCAGCATTGCTTTAAAGGACACTGCATCTGGCTGACCCCCGACATCCTCAAACGGGACGGCAACTGGGGTGCCTGGACCCCCTTCGGCTCCTGCTCGCGCACCTGTGGCACAGGTGTGAAGTTCAGGACTCGCCAGTGTGACAACCCACAGTGAGTGGCCCCGGCCTTCCCAGCCCTCCTGAGGGGCAGCTGAGGTCCCCACTGCCCCATCACCAGCCCTGTGCAGCAGGTCCATGGCTGCTGCTTGGTGGGTCTGGAGGACATAGGTCAGACACTCTCACCCCGCCCCGTTCTGCCCTGGGAGATGCCTCCCAGAGCTCCCTCCAGTGCGGCCTGGAGGCCTGGGCTCCTGAGCCACTGGCCTGGGCCCGTCCCTCTGTCCGCCCTCCCTGCAGTCCACCCTGGACATAGGCTCCCCCTGTCCTGGGGCATGGGCAGAGAAGAGAAAGTGGAGGTCTCCGTAAGGGGCAGTTCTTTGGCCCCAGGATGCCGGGAGGGCAGGGCGTGGCTGCTGTAGCAGAGCCCCTATGCACCCCCTGAGTCAGGGTAAGGGCCTGCCGCCTGCTTGCTGGGCCTAGCTAGAGACAGTTGGATGCCTGCCCTCAACCACTTCCCTCTTCCCTGGCCACTGCCCCCCTCCTGCTGCGTCCTCTTCACCCCGGCCTGGCACAGTGGAGGGACCAAGCTGTGGGTGCGGATGGAACTCAGACAGGCCAGATGTGGGGTGGGCCTTCCGTGGCACTCAGCAGGAGGGCCTTACCTGCTGTGGGTCAGGCCTGCACTCCTTGGACACATGGGGGGCTTTCCTCTTTCTTGCTTTGGCCTGTCCAAAAGACGTGGATTAAAAGATGTTAAAAGTTTTGGCCTATCTGAAAATGAAAGTCTGGAATTTCACATAAAAACTTAAACGGATTTCCAGCTTCCAAACCGAGCTATATGTGGGCTGCTGGGATGTATCAGTGTGTCCGGAGCTTCTGGACTCCGGTCCACAGCAAGTCCCCTGCTCTGGCTTCCCAGGTTGCTGCTCTTTATCTGGCCGGGCCCTCTCCTGGCCATCGAGGAACCGGAGGGGTCGCAGCCACTGGGAGAGGGGTCAGGTCTGCATCGGCCGGGCAGGGGTCTGGCAACAGACGGCCTGCGCTGCAGGAGCGTGTGCGTTCCGCCACTCCAGCTGTGTGCAGAGCCCTCCCGGCCCTCCCGCCCCAGGGCCCCGGGCTGCCATCCTGGCTAGGATCAGGACAGGAAGAGGCCCCCGGATCCTCCTCCGAGCACCTCTGGAGCTGTCACACTCCTGGGGAAGAGGCCTCCGGCTGGCAAGCTAGAGCCCCAGGAGGCAGTTGCTGGGTCAGCCTCATTCCCTGTGACGCAAGCAGGTGGCAGAAGCACAGCCCGAAATCCTCAGTGAGAAAAGCCAGCTGTGGCAGAGCCCGAGTGCCAGACGCTCGGGAAGAACTTGTGCGAGCAGGACTCTGCTGCTTGAGACTTGCTCTGCGCCTTCCCCGCCACGTGTGTGCCCGGGCCCAGCCACGAAGGAGGCTTGGTCAGGCCTCGCCATGCTGGGGCTTTCAGGCCATTGGGACCCAGCCACAGCTCTGTGTCCGTTCACAGGCCGGGGCCTCAGCGGGGAGGGGCAAGGCGCCTGCTGTCTTCCCCAGGGAGTGAGGAGGGCAGTGGCCCAGCCCCTCTTGTTCTGGACTGAGGCCTGGCTGTCTGGGAGTTGCGTGGGTGGACAGCTGGGATGTGGTACCCCGACGTTTTGCTCAGCTGCACTGACCTCCCTATTCCTGAGGCCCAAGGATCCCCTGAAATTTCCACCCAAAGGGCACCTCTTCTTGTGCCACCGAGCAGCAGACTCTGCTTTCTCTTCCAGCCCTGCCAACGGGGGCCGTGCCTGCTCTGGCCTGGCCTACGACTTCCAGCTCTGCAACCCCCAGGACTGCCCTGACACCCTGGCTGACTTCCGCGAGGAGCAGTGTCGCCAGTGGGACCTGTACTTCGAGCACGGTGATGCCCAGCACCACTGGCTGCCCCACGAGCACCGGGATGGTGAGCGCCCCACGCCCCGATGCCCTGTGAGGCGAGGCTGGGACACGGGCCAAGGCCAGAGCCCACCCCAGCTGGTGTGGCTACTGGG